GAGGGTTTGGGAGCTGTGAATTCCCACCATGACCAGGGAGGGTGCACTCACCCCTTGATTCCCAATCCTCCATTTGTAATTTTTTATTTTTCCCATAGCGCCACTCTAAAACGCTAATTGACTGATAATACAGCACCATTTCCCATAAAAGTAGGTGGATCAATGGGGTGATATAAAGTGTGGGGGGTTTGGGAGCTGTGAATTCCCACCATGACTGGGGCAGGGTGCACTCACCCCTTGATTCCCCATCCTCCATTTCATTTATCATTTTTTATTTTGCCCATAATTCCAATCTAGATTGTGTACTCGCTGATGAAACAGTACCAATCTCCATACGATTAGGTGGACAGATGGGGGGGCATATTGTTAGAATACACATTACTGTGTTTATAGCAACAACTTCTGAAGTATACAATTTCGGTCACTAGATGGCAGTGTTTATAAGTTCTGTTATATCTATGGTAGATTTTCTGTTGTATTGAATAAGGTCGAGAATAAAGCTGCGGCTTCCTTCCTGTTTTCAAGCCATGTGCAGCATGCATATCGGACTGTGTGCTTGCGTTTCTCTGTGAGGCTGTGCAAAAAGTTCCAACACCTATAAAGTTCGGGGGGCCAGGATTAGAAAGTTGGAAAAAGGAGACTGGTTAGCACACTCCTGGGGGGGGGGTGTTGGTGTGTCGTGGCCGTAATGTAGCTCCTTGCGTTGTTAGACCGGGGTGTCTAACTGTGTGATGCTGAATGGAAAGAAAGGGAGGGAAGGAGCGCAATTAACTGGCGCAGACTTTGTGGAGGTGGATAGACCAGGTAAAAAACAGTGAATCAGGTGAAAGTGGGTGGAAATGGGCACTCACGTGTGATGAGATGGATGGGCACACAGGTGATGACCTCCTGGTGATGGGGGGCCAGGATTAGAATGTGGGGGGTTTGGGTGTTGTAATTTCCCACCATGCCTGTGAGGGGGGTGCACTCACCCCTTGATTTCCCATCCTCCATTTGTCATTTTTTTATTTTGCTCATAGTTCCAATCTAAATCGTGTACTCGCTGATAATACAGTACCGTTTCCCTTTAATGGGAAGTTTGAGAAAGCTCGTACTCCGATATGACCCCCTGGTTTACTATTAACAACACAGAACTATTAAACCATGATTTTTCTGGAAATTGCCTTGTCAGAAAGGTGTGGAGAAAGCTGTAATTGGATCTGGGTGATGCTGGGTGTACTGAAGTTCATGATAATAATACATACATGCTATCTATTGAAAAGGAAAAGGGCTGAATTTCTGTGCTGTTATGGGAAAGAATGTTGAAGAATAAGTTCCAAGGGCAGAGTTCTCGGCGTGTATCTTGTATCGCACATAGAACAGAGCTGTTGTTAGACGGAGGGGCAGCTGGAGACTTTTCTGTAATGTGAGAAGACGTCTAAAAAGGGCAGAACATTTATTGTGGTCTCGAATAAAGGACGTAGAGCTTAGCAGGGTCCACTTATATCCATAGGAAGGCACGCCATCGAAAGATCGGAAAACCCTTGATCGTCCTGGAGTTAGGAAGAAGTTGTTTGAGTCAAGATGAAGCGCTGCAGTTTGGCGGATCTGAGGACCATTGCAGGAGTCTGTGTGTTTCTGGGGGTGTGCGTCACAATCGCTGCTCTCTGCTTAACTTTGGGAAAACCTCCAAAGAAAGGTAAAGCTTGGCAAGTGGATTGATTGTATAATAGTTGTTGGCCAACAAGGCTGTGGCAAGGAATCGGAAAAAAAAAATCAGAGCTGTGTTTTTAATGATTAAATAATTGGTAGTGTTGGGCACAGAAGAAGCAAACTTGCTTCATGATCTGTTCTGAAACAAAGTGGAAAAGAGCCTCATTGGTGTTGATAGAAGTTGGGGCTCTGGCGCTTATTAGCAGATTGGGCATTGCTTTCAGTTATTTCCCCCAAAAAATTATTTTTGTATGAATCTTCAGGATTGTAGAGGCATCAACTGCCTCTATGTACATAATAACCCACCCCCCGAGGACGGTGCATCCCTCCCATAACACAGTAAAGGGGTTACTGTGTTATGGGAGGGATGCACCGTCTGTTGTCTATGTAATGCGTCTAAATTCGGCTGGTCATCAAGGAGTTTGCTGCTAGTTGAAAAGCCCCAATTCAGCCTCCCCAGTCTGGATCCATGTGTCACCTGTGTACTTTAGCTGACATGTAACATGCTCCTTAGTATCAGTGCTGGAGGACACCAGTTATTTTATTGTTTGATTGGATAACATCCAGATACATCATGTCAAACAACCTCTGGACTGGCCATTAGGAAGTGAGGTCCTTGCAGCACACTATAGACGACAATGGTACCCTAGACAAAAATGGGTATTGAACCCTAAACCCCACTGCAAGGGGAGTTTTTAGCCTAATCTTGGCAGTAAATAATCATCTGACAAACAGGACAGCCCAGCACATCTGTTGCTTCCCAGTGGGTCTTAGGTTGGACCAACCATGCTGATAGCCAAATCTTAGAGATGTGGGTCTAAAAGCTGTCTAGGGACATCTGCCACAGGACAGCTCTGTTTGTATGAACCAGCTACCAATCAATGTATCTTATTACAGACATTGAAGTGTGCATCGGAGGGAATTTGTATGTTGGTACCTGTAGAGTTGGAGTGGTGCTGTGGAGAAAACAGTAGAGGTCAGTTGGGAAAATCTATCCCAGACAACCAATTTTTCAAAGGAGCTTCAGCCAGGGAGCATCGACTGCTGTCATGGAGGATACGAATATTTCCAGATCTGACCCTAAAAAAGCAGACAGGGCAAAGGTTCTCCTTCATGGCTTTAGGCGCTGGGGTGGACATCCATGCTGTGTGGGGAACTATAGGATTGGTTATGTAAAAACTGCATACACTTTCTGATTATTTATAGATAAAGTCTAAAAATGACATTTGTTGCCTAGCCTGTGTCTTGTCATGCATTCATGGTTTTGAGAAGTGGATGGTTTGGAGCTTATTTAATAATACGGAGCCGGGATTTATTGAAATGTCTATCGACCAATAAGAAGTCAACTTTCAGTAGCTAATAATATTATACCCAAGAAGTAATAATCTTCATACCTTGCCAGTAAATCAGTTTGAAAACATGCTGGTGAGCAACTATGTGTGTGTGTATATGGCAGTGGTAGATACACACAGACAAGCCTGCACACCCAGTAAGGATATTCAGTGTGTTATTACAGTCCTAAATGAATATTAAGACATCATGGCCACTGCTTGTGGGTTTCTAGCACCATTTGCACCTAACACGTAAAACAAATTTTCAGCCTGTTAATAAAATGTACCAGCCTTCCTAATGACAAGCTTTACTATATAACTTCTTACAGGAAAATGTTGGCTGGCATTACCCGCTCACTGACCGGGATCAAACATGCAGATCAGCAGTTTTGACTTAAAGTGTATAGAAAACCTCTTTAGGTCTATCCTACCCTTAGAAATGCCTTGGCTTCGGATGCACTTGTCTTGCTGCATATTTATTTTGGGTCAGGAACTAAAAAAATATTGAAGGCAGAAGCAGCCTTTAAAGCGTAAGG